AGTCTGCCCATTGCCCGGTATGACTTAGGAAGAAAGCCGTGAGAGGTACACCAGCATTCGGCGTGCGGCGAGAGCATGCAATGCTTTGGACCCGACCTGGGCGTCCAGGACAACGCCACGCCCATGGCGGTTTTCAACGCAAAGTATGTCATCCCCTCCGATCATCCAATGGCAAGGACTCGACTGCGAAGAAGCTAAGACGAGAGCGTGTCGTGGTAATAGATTCAGGCTAGTGCCGTGTACTGGAGTTGTTTATCTAACCTGATTTTGACCCTGGCTTTTCAGGATATCTTTGGTTTGGGGGTTGGTTCTGTGAAATCACAATTTCTTTGTTTATCAAGATGCCTACGACCAGCCCGATAGATGTACGATTGCCCTCTCCGCACATCAATGCAAGGCCCGAACTTGCCTTGTAGGCGTGCAGATGTGTCCACTTCCTTTTCCCAGTGCGCGGTGAACATAGGCAACAGATGTTAGTTTGGTGAGAAACAGTGCGGTTTAAGGTTATCTTAATCTTGGTTAGTTTGGTCAGTTTGGTCAGTTTGGTTAGTTTGGTTAGTTTGGTTAGTTTGGTTAGTTTGGTTTAAAGTTAGTTTGCTTGGTAAAGGTTCCTGGTGTCCGTGTTCTCGAAGGAGCGCCAAGCTCTGCGCGCTCATCCATTGGCTGATGGCCCCAGACCCGAAGGCGCGGAGCGGAGAGTGAGCTTCGGGCATTGGAGAAGAAACTGGTTCCAATATGGTTTTTAGACTTTTGAACTCTTGGACTTTTGGACTTTTGGACTTTTGGACTTGTGGACTTTTGGACTTGTGGATTGGGTTTGGGATGCTTTTTGGAGCGCATTCCGGTCTGACTTGGACCCGGGAATTGGTACACACCTGATCTCACCCCACTATGAGCTCAAGGTACGGTCTTCCTGCAACCAATGCTAGCATTAGGAATACCAGGCGGGTGAGAAAATGTCTGGCCCCCACACACACAGAGATACTCAGAAATATGTAGAGACCATAGAGACGCACAGGGACACACAGAGGCACAGAGACAGTCAGAGACTCACAGACACACAGAGACACAGAGACACGCAGACACAAAGACACACACACAGACACACAGAGACACAGAGACACGCAGACACAAAGACACACACAGAGACACAAAGAGACACAGAGACACGTACAGACACAGAGAGAGTGATAGACACACAGAGACACAAAGACACGCAGAGACCCACAGAGACACACAGAGACACAGAGAGACACACGGAGAGCACGGACACACAGACACACGGACACACAGACGACACACAGACACAGACATGGAGAGACACAGGCACACAGAGACACACAGAGACGCAGACACCCAGAGACACACGGAGACAGACACAGAGACAGACAGAGACAGACAGAGATATGCAGGCGCACAGAGACACACACGGAGACACACACACACACCACAGGGACACCAAGACACAGAGACACACAGACAGACGCACAGCCGTAACACACCCTCACAAGGCACAGAGAGACGGAGAGACACGCACACATACACCTACACGTGCAGATACCTGCACACGTACAGGTGCACGTACACACACACACACTGCTTGGCATTTGAGCGCAGACCTTCCAACATTACAATGATTGTGGGCATCGTCCAACAAATAATCACTGAGGTGGGCTTAGGCAGAAAGCTCAGCACTGGCCCTACTGGCCATAAAAATAAAAGTGTCATGCATAGGATTGAAGAACGAGGAGCAGGAAGTTCATGGCCATAAAGGCAATCCTGCAAGCTTGTGGTAATGCATAGCTTGGTATGTTGCTAGCTTCCGAACAGTCTTTCTGTGAGGATCGGCCGTCTGCTGTGCGGCTTCTGCAGGCTGGTGCACTAAATGTGGCACTGGTTTGAATGTCGCATGTTCGGTGTTTCGGACATCTCAAGTTTGGTTCGACATGATTTCACAGCAACAAAAAGTCGCACGCTCCAGCCGCCATGCAGCCTTGACAGGGAAGGCACCTTCCTTCCTCTCCTGGCACTTTTCCTATGAGCTTTGGGGCTTGGGCCTCTTGATTGGTGAAGATCCGGAGTCAGCTCTAAAATGTTGGAGCTTGAAGAAAAAGAAATCGGGAAGCAACTCGCAGCAGGCAAGTGCTGTTTTTGACCCACGTGTAGAGAGGGCGAAAAGGGCGTACGCCAGTCACCCAAGGCTCTGGTCGCTCGTTTGAGCAGCGGCACGGAACAAGCGACTGGCCGGGTTTGAAACTCGGGTTGTGGTGAAATCTTTGTGGCATCCAACCCTTTCAATCGCCGGTTCGCACGTGCGGGCTAGAATCTCTCATTGGAGTTGAGATCAGTTCTACTGTTATTCTCCCGACGGCGGATTTTTCCGGAGGCCATCACCCTGAATGACTCCATGTAAGCAGAAAGGCTGTTTTAGCGCTTGATGGTTTCTCAGATTGCAGGCTTGCCAAGACATTGGCAAGAGTGAGTATGCTGACTACATCAAGCCCCAGCCTCGGAGCCTGCCTTTCGTGGCGCTTGCCCCTGCGATTCGATGCTGCGATGCGATGGCCTGTGGTGAAATCTGAAGCATGGTCTGACCTCTCTTGGTCTAATTGGTTGAATGGAATTCCAGCTGACAATTGCAACAGATTTGTCCAGTTGCGACAATTCCCTAATTCTGGTCCAATTGGTTGAATGGAATTTGTCAGTTGCCACAGATATATGATGGCAAGTAACATGGATGCTTGCCAACCAGTGCTGAAGTGTGTTGACTGCCCGTTCGCCAGGACGCGCACTGGCACCTCATATTTCTTCAGAAGGTTGATCTCAGTGTTTCGAGATAATGGCTTGGCTGTGGCTTCTGTGGATTCGCCCCTGTAGAATACTAGCAGAGTACTAAAATATTATTAAAACAAAACTAACGGGGAAAACAGGAGAAATCCACAAAAAGCGTATCCACACTTCTTTTCCAGAAGTGTTCAACACTCTGAACCACGATATGCATTTGCATTTTTGGACCGACCATCAGCCAGCCAGCGAGCGCGAGCACGCAAGCACTCACTCAAACACGAAAAAAGGCTAGGCGCGCCCAAAATAGCAGACGCACTGCCATGGCGGTGCATCGATCTTCAGAGTTGCTCAGGGCTCCTTAAAAGATACATTTTGCCAATTTGAGACATGGCTTTTTTCCACCAAAATAAAGGGAAACCACAATTTGTTCAGGTGTATAATGTAAGGATCCCTGTTGCTTCATCACTTCGCAACAATGCTTGCACCTATTCATGCCTTGAAGGCTTACAAGGCGGGCGTGCATTGACGGTTGCTGTGAACTTGGACGACTGGAGATCATGCAACATGAGCAATGGTGAAAGGGTCAAAGCACCTTGGGGTGATTTGGGACCTTTTTTCGCCCCGCATGAAAGGGTTTGTGTTCCACGCAACAATCCCAATTTTCGTTTGGGAAAACTTGCAAAAGCAGTCGGATTTCTTTGGACCCTATCCATTGCTTTCCTTTCTGCCTCTACGCTTTGAGGCTTCTCATTTGCTGGCAGAATGCGCTTAGGCTGCTGTCCCTTCAGCCGATATCTGACATCCTGCGCGCCTTTTCCTTTGGGATATCGCCGATTTGGGGCCACCGTATATGAGGTGCTTCGGACCACGCGTGCGCGACCCATTGCGACCCATGTTACCTGAGGTCTATGCCAGCGCCTGTGAGGCAAGCCGTCGGCAAGTGGCGCTTGGTGGCTAAGTGGGAAAGGCTTACGCAAGAGGACTTGGGGACATGATGCTCATTGGTTTGGGGGAGCTCACTTGAGGTTCCTGTTTTTGTCATATTCCCGCTGCCTCGGAAGTGTCCCTTCAACAAAGTCCTGCAGCATAAGCGCACTCTGCTGATATTATTAATATACATATAATATATTATATATACATTAATATATATATATGTATACATATATATATATATATGGATACATTATAGATGCATGTATGTGCATGATTATCACGGGAAACCTAGCAAGAGCGCCCACAGTACTGGAACTCAGCTCTGCTTAAGATTGCATTACTTGCAATTGTTCAGAATAGAAGCACAGTGTGTGAAAAAGCTGAGAAAACGCTGGAAAGCGCGAGAAGCGGGGAATAGAAGCGGGCGAACAAAAAATAGGGCCTGTGCGTGAACCCAGCTCTTCTACATGTGTGCACGCTTCATTGCAACGACCCTTTGCAGACTTTTTTGAGGCGGACCTTCAAGGATGCCGTTTGTTTTTTTTGGGCAAATGTTCACTTCGTTCGTGCAAGATTCTGTGTGCTTTCTATGGGGGCTCGACCTTCAACCAGTCTTTTGGTCAACGTTTGTCAGCTTGCGCAACTCTTAGGTGGGCCTTGAAAGCTCTGTGATGGTTTTGTGTGTGTTTTCGTGTTTTGCCCGCGGAGCACCCGCCGACTGTTGTTCACTCCGGTGGGCTGAGAGAGAGAGAGAGAGAGAGACAGAGAGACAGAGAAAGTGAAAGAGAAAGGGAAAGAGAAAGTGGAAGAGAAAGATGAAGAGAAAGAGACAGAGACAGAGAAAGAGAGGGAGAGAGAGGAAAAGAGAGCACGAGAGAGAGAGAGAGAGACAGAGCGAATGGAAACAATAAAGAGAAAGGGAAAGAGAAAGATAAAGAGAAAGAGAGGGAGAGAGAGGAAAAGAGAGCAAGAGAGAGAGAGAGAGAGCGAAAGGAAACAATAAAGAGAAAGAGACAGAGACAAGGACAGAGACAGAGAGAGAGAGAGAGAGAGAGCGAGAGCAAGAGAGAGCGAGAGAGAGAGAGAGGGAGAGAGAGCCAGAGAGAGCAAGAGCAGGAGGAAGATGAAGAGAAAAAGAGCAAGACAAAGAGAAAGCTCAACAGAAGGAGAAAAAGAGATAGAGAGAGACGCTGAGAGGGCAAAAGAAGCGTGCCGCAAACTATAATTGGGTTTGTGAAGTTCCCCCCTCCCCCGGCTTTGCTGGACTTTACTGGTACATAAGTCTTAAGTTGTTTTTGCACAGCGGAAAGCGCAATCAACTTAAGTGGAGACTGGCTGGGCAGCATACATCACTTGCTGGCGCAGGACCGCAGGAAAACAACCGCCCGCAGACAAATGCGCTAGCGCCAACATGGGACCCAACATGATGTACGAACACAGCGACACAGAGACAAGAAAAGACAGAGACACGCAGAGAG